CAATGCTGCATTCCTTGGTGAAGCCGCCATTGACAATCTTACGTATGAATGAACGTGTGAACATTCAAAGACGACTGCAGATCGATGAAAGCCATCAAATGGACGTTTCTGAATCGCGTCCTCGCAGCCGCTGCCATGGATTCATTTCCATTTCCACTACTCCGAAGCCGATTTTCAATGGTGATGACGTTCGATGCATGAATGAACTGAGCGAATCGAAACCCATTTAGTTTTGCTACAGAGCGAAATGATTAGAATTAGAAGGCTGGCTAATTTAGCATTAATTAGAAGTTTCGAAATGCTGTTTTGCAGACTGGTTTGCTACTCAATGAATGGGCGTCTGTGTGCCTTTGATCTACCAACTCTCAGTGGGTTGCAGGCGGCGGGTCGCTCGGCACTGGCTCGCCTCTCCCGCCCATATCGCTCGCGACAGTCGACGGGCGTCGGCTCCCCTGACGCCGCCGGCGGAGGAGCGCTCTAAAGGCGACGCGCCGCACCTGTCTGGTGCCCGCGCGTCTGTCGACGGATTGCATTAGCTGTGTTTGTCTACACCTCAGCCCATCTGTCTGACCGCATCACTGCTGCGCTGCTGTGACGGCTATTCTCACCCCAGATGAGCTGAACACGGCGGGTTTCTGTTCTTTCTTTATGCGATATTCGTGACGACAATGTGCCAGCCCGTGTCTGAGATGTGACTGTGATGTCTCTGGCGCAGGCAACAATGCCTCTGAGACAGCCTCTCTGGGGGTGGGAGGGGGTGGGGACGGACGCCGCGCGCCGGATGGGGTTCTGGTAATCGGGTGATCTCTCACTCTCGTCTCTCTCTCTCTCTCTCTCTCTCTCTCTCTCTCTCTCTCTCTCTCTCTCTCTCTCTCTCTCTCTCTCTCTCTCTCTCCTCTCTCTCTCTCTCTCTCTCTCTCTCTCTCTCTCTCTCTCTCTCTCTCTCTCTCTCTCCTCTCTCTCTCTCTCTCGGGCGGCGCCTGTGCCGGCGTGGTGGTGCGTCGGGTAGGCGGCCGAGGCGCCAGATTGGATTATACACGGCCGGCCGGTCGGCTGATCCGCCGACGGCCGCTGCTCGACGGGCGGCCTGCCATTAGTGCGGGAGGACCGCCGCGGCCCAGTACGGGCCACCAACAATGCACCAGCACCAGACCCGCAGGCCGCACGGCGACGAGGCTGCGGTTTGGCTGGGATGAGAGTTTAAGAGCAACAAACGAACACATTACAAGAAATGCCGACTTAAACTGGGTTGTTTTGGAAAATGAAGTTATAACCTACTGCAGTTGTGAGGACGACTATGAGCGATAAACATCCCAACATTGTAATTCGTGTTCCCGTGATTTATTGCCAACAAGTGCAAGTCCGTACAAACCTTTCACAACTGACTCCAAACCTCAAAGTTCAAACTTCATGCACCGTGCAACTGCAACTTCTATGTTTGCCCATCAATCGCTAACTTCCACTTGATCTATATCGTACATATATGCTTTCCTTGCTGTCATGAGATGTATTTTTAATTTTGGGTCTCTATCAAGCTCCAAACCACTCACTTTAACATTCATGGGCGTTGCATGATAAAGCTGTCCTTTTGAACTTTTAAGACTTCATGGCGGTAATTACTTGTCAAACAGCATACGAAACATGTTAAGTGACCAAAACTTTGCGTCTCTCTCTCTCTCTCTCTCTCTCTCTCTCTCTCTCTCTCTCTCTCTCTCTCTCTCTCTCTCTCTCTCTCTCTCTCTCTCTCTCTCTCTCTCTCTCTCTCTCTCTCTCTCTCTCTCTCCATCTCTCCCTCTCTTCCTCTCTTTCCCTCTCTCCCTTTCTTCCTATATTTCCCTCTCTCCCTCTCTTCCTCTTTCCCTCCCTTTCTTCCTCCCTCCCTCCCTCGTTCTCTCTCTCTCTCTCTCTCTCTCTCTCTCTCTCTCTCTCTCTCTCTCTCTCTCTCTCTCTCTCTCTCTCTCTCTCTCTCTCTCTCTCTCTCTCTCTCTCTCTCTCTCTCTCTCTCTCTCTCTCTGTCTCTCTCTCTCTCCCCCCCCCTTCCTCCCTCCAGAATAACAGGACAGGTTTGCACTGCCATTATGCGCTACTAAGGAATTTATGTATTTATTTATTTATTGTTTCATTGTTTTGCCACAGCCGCTTGAATCATTTACCAGGCTTATGTTACTGCTTCTCCTGATAGCATCCTGGTCAATGGTCATCACAGGATGCGAGATCCACCAACACTTTGCAGATGTCGCATTGCTTTCCGTCAGCAACTAATCCATCTGGCAACACTTTGAATAAATTACCTGTCTCTCAGCGAACAATGCCATTTTCGCGCTCCGTCGGCTGAATTGGGCGCTCGGTGTCGCGTTTCATGAGAATTGGTGTCGCACGCGGCGGGCCGGCCGGCTCGGAGATAGGGCGACGCTCTGGCGGCCGTCACCATACATCAGCCGGCTCGTAATCGGCGACACACAGCGCTACGTGCGTCTCTGCAGGTCGCAGAGCAGACGGGCGGTGACAGAGCGGCTCAGACCGCCGCGCTCTTCCGCCTCACTGCCGCGGGTGTGACACGGCGGGTCAAGTCTGTCTCATTGCTGCGGGGACGGTCGGCTCGGGCCTGCAGGGCACTCCAAACTCCAGGCCTCCAGGCCTCTCTATAACTCCTCCAAACTCCTCACTCCAGGCCTCTCTCCTGGACAGTGCACTCGATGCACCCTTCTCGAGAGTGCCGTATTATTGCGCGGTGGTTCCTGTATGGCCTGACCTGGATGTCGTCTCTGTCGTGGCCGGCGCGTCTCCGGGAAGGCGTTGCCGGTCTGTCGCCGTTTTTCCTCCCACTGACCGATGGGCGTGCACTGGCCCGCCCGGGCGCGGCGTATTGCGCCGATCGGACCTCGCGAGCGGGCTGCATGCAGCGAACCAGCACCGGACCAGTGTCTCCGGTCGCCTTTTTGTGTTAATATTGCACGACGGCCGGCGACTGGCACGTGGCTGTAGCACGTGACGTTGTCGGTTGAATCCCCCGGGAGTAGACTGGAGAGGGACGTGACCCTCCCTCTGCGACCCCGCCCTCCGCGGCGTCGCCCCGCCCGTCCGTCAGGGCCGGGCGCACTCGGTCTGCCGGGCTGGGCCGCTCGTCGGCCGCTCGTTTGGACAGCCGTCGGTTACGGTGGTTGACCGCGACCCGCTCCGTCCGCCGGCAGAGCGTGCCCAGATGACCCGCTCTTCCGGCCCCGCCCGCGCAGACCCGCTCTGCCTCACTATTGATAGCTGACCACCGGAAAGTGGACTCAATCGAGCCACGAGATGCATGCCCATAGGCGCGGGAGCCGGGGGGGCAGTGGGGGCAGCTTGCCCCCCCAACTCTGGGGCCGTGGGGGCGGTGCCCCCACAGCTTTGAGATGGAATACCACACTTTTTTTGCAAATGTTTTCTTTTTTTGTTAAAAAAGCCGAGGGGTGAAAAATAAGTGGCCTAAAACCGGTGAGCAAACTAGATTTGGGGGTAACCTAGGTTGATCTCTATTATGGTGTGCCCCCCCAGTCGGAAAGTAGTTCCCGCGCCCCTGTGCATGCCGTGTGCCGGGTCCCGCGGCCGCCGGCCGGGGGCGGGTACTACCGGTATAGTGGAGCGGAGTCGTTCGGATGGCCCGGTCAGACCGAGTTAGTGCGCCGGGGCCCGTCGTCGGCCGCCGGCTTACTGCCCGACCGACGGAGATGAGCTACAGTAATGTCCGAGACCAAACTTCGGCCAGGACAACTTAATGACGCCTTATTGCAAGAAATGGCAGTCTATTCGTTTAATTTCTGGCATGGCTGCAGGTAATGATCCGAGCTTAACGAATGGGGCACATCCTGTTTCCTGATGTATTGGTCTTGTACTGAATGGGGTAAGATTCGCACTGCTGGCGTTCGCGGTATTCCAGCCGCGCGGTACGGGTGGCAACAGTTCCAGTACCTGACCAATCCCCGGTGCATTTTCAGAGGTCTGGGGCCTTAGATCTCGACCAGTCCCCAGTGTGATATCTGCCTTTAGGAGCTGGCGTCGGGAGCTGCGGCGCGGCCGGCCGCTCCCCAGGTCAAAAGGCTGAGCCGAGAACGGCCTGAGTTATATAATCGCTGCCAGTGTCCGGCCCCGTCCGTGGGCCTTTTCACCGAGCGGCCACAGCTCCCCATCTGCCGCTGGAGAGCTATGAATGGGATTATTCGTCCCGTAACGGATGTCATTTCCTTTGTGAACTCATGGTTCCCATCTTAGCTCTTGACTCAGGTCTTGGTCGCAGTGCTGGCTACCGTTATGTGACTTGTCTTAGTTCATACCTCTGCTTCCTTCCGGTGTGTTTCGGTCCGAGTTTGGAAGTCATCGGCATCGATTCTGACTTCCTAAAGGTATGACGTTTGCTTGGCCTCGGATGCTCTGTCGAACTTGTAGTGTTTATTGTGCACAATTTGCCTCTGTCGTGTTCAACGCCCGCTGTGTCGCCTCCTTTCCTCCCCCGATCCCCTTCCCCCTGTTGCACCGACTCTCACTGTCTACATCACCGGCTCCTGGCTCCGGGCATCTCCGTGGCCCCGGCTCCCCGTCTCCCCAGGCGCCTATCAGAGCGCTCGGTCGGCTCACTGGGGGCCGGTGGGAGCGGGCGGGGGCGTCTTCACCTCTGTGGGATCAGATTATCGGACCGTCCCGGCCGGCGGTAGTCAGCCGGGACGGATCTGGGCAGAGGCCGACTGAGGCGGATTGGATCTGTAGCGCCACCTCCCCTCATGTGTGATTTGATTTATAATAGTTGATTGTTAGCAGTGGTTTGAGGGCAAGTCGTGGCTATTGTTTGGTCGTATTTTTCTTATTACTGAAGGGTATTCCTGTTAGAACTGGATTTGTGCTCAGTAGAGGCATATGTGTCTGCTGGTGACAAGATATCAGCTCTATATCGAGTGCCGTTTTAGCTGCGTTGCGTGTCGCCCTGATGTAAGACCCCCCACTGACGGCCGTCTCTCCTATGTGCCCCTCAGGAGGTGGTGGTGGTGCGACTCCAGCCGGCCACTGACGAGGAGAAGCTCCACTACGCCTCCCTCTACACCTATCTCTCCAAGAAGAACCGGCTCGGCGTGGTGGGCGGCTTCTCCAAGGCCATCAAGGACTTTTACATCCTGCCGCTGGCCAGCACGGACCCCATCCCGTCGGCCCTGCTGCCCTTCTCCGGACCAGGTGGGTGAAGCCGCCCTAGACACCGAGCAGTCCCCTAGGCAGTCCAAACGGCTGGCATGACACGATATATGTAGTTTTGTCTCCTGACTGTTTGCCCTTTGGTGCATCGGTTATGCAACGAATAATCGTGTTCGTGCCTTCCATATGGCTCATCTCCGCCTAATGTATACCCAGAATATGCGCCGCCGCCGTAAATTCTCGGCTAAATTAGTAATAGTGCATCTACTCGGTTAATCCTGGCCGTAAATCGGTATTGTCCGAAAGTTGGGATGAGGTTCCGGTGATTAATCACAAATCTGCTCTCGGCTGAAAGTTTGAGTGAGCCAGACTCCCCATTTATCACTTGGGGCGGTATTCTCAATCTGCAGCGCGCTGTTGTATTCATTGAAGCCGTGTGAGAGTCAGCTGCATTACACGGTGCTCCCGTGTTGTGCGGCGCGGCACGGGTCGATGTTAGGTCGCCTGACTGACTAACTGACGGTGGTGTTCTGTTTGCCAGGACTGGATGATCTCCGCCAGCATATGTTGCTCGGTCTCATCCTGTACGCGTCGTCTCGGAAAAGGAAGCACGAGTCATCCAGCGGCGGGGAGAAGCACAGCTCCTCGCGCAGCGGAGGGAAGGCTGCGCGGCACGCCGCCTCGCCCGAGCCTCCCACGGTCCATTGTGAGTACCGGAGTAAGGTCAGAAAATGGGGGGGGGGCCACTGTGAGTACGGGTTCAGGGGGCTTAGGTAGGTTGTCAGATTATGCTGGCTGGTTTGGGTCAGTAGAACTGATAGGACTGTAGTTCAGGTTCTGGTCTGGTACTGGTCTGGTAGGATAATGGTAATACTGGATCTGGATCGATAAGATAAAATGCTTTAACCGCAGGTTGTTTGAAATAGATAAACACTATTCGTTAGAATTGTTTTTCTATTGAAAAACAACCGGAGCAGTTTGATAAACACTGGGTTTGCATGAGTCAGGTCGGACTCTTGCAAGTACTCGACCCAGGGTCAGGTCTTTTCAATCACCGAGGCGTAAGTGCGCAAGTAGTGCGCGTTCTTGGGAGTGTGGGACATTGATCGAGTCGGGTGCGCCGACCCCGGACTGCGATGTGCGTTTCCATCCCCCGCTCCGCGCCATTCGGTGGATTATTTTGGGCGCACGGCGCACCTTCACTCGAGTGATGGTTACAGTTATCGGCCGGCGCTCGGCGTGTATTGGCGAGTGGGGGTGAATTACTCAGTCATTCTGGATGTATGGCGGGGTGGTGGAGCTCTTTAGCTCTCTCAGGAGACAGAGCGGATGGGGGCAGGTGGCGACCGGTACTCACTAATGCATGAGCACTATTGAGCAGTCACCCTCGGTGGTAAGTGTCATGTGGGACAGGACGATTCGCTGCATTGCTAGAGCCGACGATACGGTATGACAAGTTTTACTTTTTAGTGTTTGACCGTCCCATAGCCTTAACTCGAATCATGGTTTTGTAATTAAAATGCCATTTTATATTTATCGGACCACGCGGGCTGTGTCTGCAGTTCTCCCAGGTGCCCTGTGCCGGCGGCCCATGTCTGTGACCTTTGCCACGGCCAGCGCCGCCCTCCTTTTATCATTGGGATCGATTGTGACGAGAGCGTCCCGGTCGGGGCGGGATTTCTGACGGTATTTATGGGCCGATCCGGCCTGGCCTGTGACCGTCGCCCTCCACTGAATCACGCCGTCGCCCGGCCCGTCTCGGGCGCGCCGGACGGTCGCTTTGTGGCCCCAGTGCGCTGACGTCACTGCCGTCAGTGTCAGGTCGGTGGTCTGCTGTTCTCGACCGACCTGTGGGGCTGTTAGGATGGTACGGGATCATCAGTTTATCTGTTCGCCCTGACCGTGAGAAACTAGTCAGCCGTTAATTAACCAAAGTAACTAACTCAGTAGCCTTCCAGAATTCCGCACCCTATAAGTATGAGTAAGTATAAGCAAACCTGATCCCATTGCGCCACGTCCTGAAGTCTCTCCCTCACTCCCGCTCTACCTATCTGACGTTCTTGGCTTACTGGTAACCTCCACTTACCCCCGTTCCCTTCCGTCCACAGACGCGCCGACCAAGCCGTTGACGATCGGCTACCAGCCGGAGCTCAGTGCCTACCAGCCGGGCCACTACGTGCGAGACGTGTCGGCCCCCGTCTCACCACAGGCGCCACCCCCAGCCGAAAAGGAAAAGTCGCCACAACCGCCTACGCTTAACTTCTACAGCTCGAGCCACGCGGATGGGGAACTCGAGAAGGAGCTGCTCGAGCTCGATCTCGAGGAAGAACTCGAGGAAGAGGCACTCGACGAGCTCTCGCATGAGGGTGAGAAGAAGTCTGAGGAGCCAGCGCCGCCGGGGACGGAGATCCCCGGACTGGGTGACGATTCGGCTCCGTCGGGGTCGGGCACCGCTCCGGCGTTCCTGCGCTCGCAGCCTCCCGCCGACGCCGAGGCCTACGACCCGGAGCAGCGTACTCCTCCGCTGGAGGATGAGCCTTACGACCCCGAACAGGCGCTGGAGGAGGACGGTGACGAGCCGTACGATCCAGGCGCGGCCACGCCGCCGCTGGATAGTCCCGCTCCGGCGTCCGGCGCCGCGGCCGCCGAGGACGCGGCCCAGGTGCTCGCTGAGCTGAACCGTCGCATTGATGAGCAGCGCAACGCCCTCAGCGCCATGAAGAGTAATCTAGACGAGGCGGAGGCGCCGTACGACCCGGCCGACCCGCCCGGTCTGATGGATTCGCTGCGACTGCGCACCGAGCAGCTTAGTCGGCTGCGCGAGGCCGGCGCGCGAGACCCCATCATCGACACGTATGGCTCTCAGGAGGAGGACGACGACCACTCGGAGCCGCACACGCCGGACAGCGAGCGGCCCGGCCGGCGGCGCACCTTCACCGACGAGGACCGGCTGGTGGTGGCTGAGTCGCCGCAGGAGGCGACGCCGCCGCCGGCCGAGAGCCCGAAGGCCGAGCCTCCGGCCCCGGAGCCGCCTGTACGACCCAGCGACCCGCGCAGTGCCAGAAACAAGGGGAACCTCTCCAAGCTGACCGACTCGGACCTGATAGCGCGCGCCCAGGCCGAGCTGACCACGTTCAACCCCCTGGTGCCGCCGCCAGGTATGGTGCCGCCGCCCGGCCCGGTCGGCCCGCCAATGCCTGGGCCGCCGGGGCCGTTCGGACCGCCGCTGGCGCGCTGGGAGCGGCCTCCGGTGGACCCGCGCGCCGGCCCCTACCCGATGCACCCCGGCCCGCCCGGTCCTGGGCCGTTCCAGGGTCCGCCGGGGATGCGAGGACCGATGCCCGGTCCCCCGGGCCCTCCTCACGGACCGCATGGTCCCCGCGGACGGCACATGGCCCGGCCTCCGTACGGCGGTCACCTGGATCCACGACTGCGGCGCAACTGAGCGCGGCACTCGCTGTACAAACTCTGCGGCAGTTTTACTCTCATTGTCCGGTCACGAGGAGCCGTGCAATGCGCGGATGGAGCACGCTGTGTACGTTCTCGCCGGTGTCGGCCGGCCTTACCCTCCACCCGCGCATTTATCGCCATGGTGGCACGCATCTCATAAATCATTGTCGCTCCTAGCCGGTGCTAGCAGCGTAGGGGCTGTATCATATGCACAGCTTGTAGTGGCTGACGGCGGGCGTTGGGCGCGTTGGTGTAGTCCGGTGTTTTGTCCCCGGAGGGAGAGTGACGTGCTTGTCCCAGTCAGTGGCTAGGGATCGCAGACGCTGAGCTTGTAACGTGCTAACCCGCTGTCCCCGTAGAATAGCATGTGTCACCGGTCGCTGCGGTGTAAACTGCACTCTGAGACGGCCGTGGCTTCGATGCAAGTACAGGTGTGCTGGCCGGCGGACCGGCCGCTCGCGCCGTGCAGGGCGCTGGCTGTTGTATATGACGTATTTGCTGTTTGAGTGTACTGTGTGACGCCCGCGGCAGGGCAGTAGTGCCGGCGGCCGCGGCCAATAAACCTACTCCGGCAGTGAGTGGCCATTTGTGAGCGAACTCGGGCAGTAGATCAGCAGTCGGCTGACTGCCGGCTGTAAATTCTGCCGCACAGGGACGCACCGCCGGGGTTCAGTGTGTGGAAGAGACGCTGGGGGATCACTGCTGGTCGGATGGTGGTGTGTGGCGGAGTGTCAGGACGCCCAAAACGTCCCCAATCACGAACGATTTTGATTCCACCGATAATTTGATCATTAACGAAATCAGGTTTTCAAAATATGCCTAGCCTGACGCTGGGATAGGTTTGCTTATGGTTGCATTGCTTACTTACAATACACATTGTTTTGTGAAGACTCGACCGGACGACGGCCTGGCGTCCCGAGCTTCGACATCACGGGGATGCAGGGCGGAGCCCTACACCCTGTCCGCACCTGACGTGACGTTGCACCACGTCACGGCGGGCCGGGTCGCGTGGCACCCCCAGGATGCGCTCTCATCTGACCACCGACCGATCCTCGTGGACATAACGGTCGGAGAGAGGGCCCCGCGGCAGCAGCGTCGTCGCCGGCGGCCCCGCCTGTCCCTCGCGAAGGCGGACTGGACGGAGTACGACCGCCGCGTAGAGGAGGGCGTTCGGGCAATGCCGCCATGGACGGAGCACACTTCGCTGAGGGAAGCCAACGACAAGCTCACAAGGGTAATACTGGAGGCGGCGGAGGCGGCGATCCCGAGAGGGGCCCGCAAGACTCCTAAACCGTGGTGGAATGAGGAGGTGGATGCAGCTGTCAGACGCCGGAACCAGCTGCGCGGCCTGGCCAGAACCGACCCCGGCCAGGGAGCGGCATGGAGAGAGGCAGAACGTGAAGTTCGCAGGCTGATCGTGGAGGCGCGCCGAGCCTCATGGCGCGACTTCACGAGCCAGCTGAGCCTCCGCACCGATGCAAGAAAGGTGTGGGACACGATGAAGGCCCTGGACGGCAAGGGCGCCCCCATGCGGCAAGATGAGGAACTGCGGGTTGGCGCTAAATCCTACTCCTCAGACAAGAGGAAGGCGGACGCCTTCATGAGGGTGTACGCCGGGGCTAGCCACCTCCCCCCACGGGTCAAGAAAGACCGCCCGTTCCGACATGACCTGACCAAATTCATGAAAGGGCAATGTGCGGGCTGCGATGGAAACCGCACTGGCTGCTGCAGCCCCTTCGGGAGAAGGGAACTGGACGTGGCCATCTCCAAGCTCGCCGGACGCAAGGCCCCCGGATCTGACGGGGTAACCAACGAGATGATCGTGCACCTCGGCGACGCCGGGCGGGAGAAGCTGCTTGAGCTTGCGAATCTCAGCTGGGCCCGGGGTGAACTCCCCTCGATCTGGCGCAAGGGCACAATCGTGCCGATTCTCAAGAAAGGGAAGCCCCGTGACCAGCCCGGCTCCTACCGCCCCGTCAGCCTGCTCAGTTGCCTGGGGAAGGTGGTCGAGCGGCTGGTCCAGGCGCGCCTCTACTGGCTGGTCGAGCGGAGGAACCTGCTGCACCCGGCCCAGGCGGGGTTCCGGCGGGCGCGCTTCACGGAAGACCAGGTGATGAAAGTCACCCAGGCTGTCGCGGACGGATTTCAGAGGAGAAGGAGGACGGTCATGGCCCTGGTCGACTTCAAGCGGGCCTTCGACCGCACGTGGCACATCGGGCTCCTATGGAAGATGGCTGACCTCGGACTGCCGCGCTGCCTGGTGGCGTGGGTCCGTGCTTTTCTGGAGGACCGGCAGGCGCGCGTCCGCTTTAACGGCCAGCTAGGAGGCTACCGCTGCGTGCGGGAGGGCACGCCGCAGGGAGCGGTGCTCTCGCCGCTCCTGTTCCTTCTCTTCATCAATGATATCGCCACCGACTTCCCGCCGGGAGTCGAGATCACCCTCTTCGCAGACGACCTGGCTATCTTCGCCACTGAGAGGACCATCGCCGAGGCTGAGACGAGGGTCCAAGCGGCGCTCAACGAACTGTTAAAGTGGGCGGACCGCTGGAAGATGGAGGTCAGCGCGGAGAAGACCGTGGCCACTGTCTTCACCCTCGACCCTCACGAGGCGAGACGGGAGGCCTGCCTGCACATGAGGACCACCAGACTACGACACGAACCGACGCCGACCTTCCTGGGGGTCACGTTCGACCGCACACTATCCTTCAAGCAGCATGTGGCCAGGCTCAAGGCCAGGATGGTCAGAAGGTGCAACGCCCTGAGAGCAGTTGGAGGTAAAGCCTGGGGAGCGAGCACCACGGACCTGAGGACGCTCTACCTGGCTTACATCAGGGCGTGCGCGGACTACGCTGCAGCGGGCTGGATGTCAGGAGTGGCCCCCACTACGCTGGAACAGTTGGAGGTCGCCCAGCGCCAGGCATGCCGGATTATCACCGGCTGCCTCAGGTCCACCCCGGCGCCAGCGCTGGAGCGCGAGGCGGACGTGATGCCGTTCGCGATACGGCGGAGGCAGCTGACGGCCGCGGCGACCCAGCGGCACCTGAGAGACCTCCCGGGGGATTCCCTGCAGCCGGTGCTGACAGCGACGAGGCCCAGACAGCGGCTCCACCGAGATCGAGGCTGGGCCGACACGGGACTCAGTACGTCCTCGGACGCTGGTCTGGGGGACCTCCCGCGGGAGCCGGTGCTGGTGGTCCCACGGACGCCGCCGTGGGAGAGTGCCGCGGGAGGCGTCACCATCAGCAGAGACCGACAAAGAGAACGGACCCACCGGACAAGCGGTTGGAGGCGGCACAAGAGACCCTGGCGGGACTCCCGCCAGCCGACTATACCGTATTCTCAGACGGATCGGCCACAGACGGTGTCGAAAATGGCGGGGCGGGAGGCGTTGTCTTCCGGGGGGCGACGGAGCTGGAGAGGATCCGGACCCCTGCAGGCCGCTGGACCTCCAGCTACCGCGCGGAGCTAACGGCGCTCGACTCTGCCCTCGCGTCCCTCCTGAGGGGCGCGGAGGGCCCTGCTCCGCGGGAGGTACGAATATGCACCGACTCCCAGTCGGCCCTGCGTCGCCTCGCGGAGGGCCCGGCGGCGCAGACGGATGTCCTGGCGGACAGAGTCTGGCAGAGGCTGCTGGACCTAGCCGACCGCGGGACGCACACGTCCCTGCAGTGGGTTCCCGGCCACGCCGGGCTCCCCGGCAACGAGCTGGCCGACGAGATCGCACGGGAAGCCGCCAACCTGGAGCAGCATGACGTGCCGATAGACCTCCCGTCGGCAAAAGCCAGGCTGAGGAGGCACGCCCACCGGGAGTGGGAACAGCGGCTGCAACCGACCCGCTACGCCCTGCAGAACGGAGTGCGCCGCCCCCCTACGGCTGAGCGCCTGGGACTCTCCCGCCGGGAGTGCGTGGAGGTCGCGAGACTCCGTACCGGCCACTCACTGATGCTGCGGGAGTATCGACACCGAATTGGCCTGGAAGATGACCCCACCTGCCCGGAGTGCGGGCTGGAGGATGAGACACTAACTCACCTCCTGACCGACTGCCCCGCCCGGGCAGATGCGAGACGAAGGATATTCGGAGAGGACGAGCCGGAGATAAAGGAAGCACTGGGAGACCCGACGAAGCTGGTGGAGCTCCTGAGGCGGCTGGGCCGCCTGTGAGGCGTCCCCCCGTATGGCTTCCAGCCAAGGGCCGGAAGCACTTCAACTTCAACTTCAACATCACGGGGATAACGGGGGAAAAGTGCGGCGATCCGACTGGACTGCTTTTTGACTCTAGGCATAGCGGCCAATCGCCCTAAACTTTGAATGTCGACCGACGACAAATCGCTACTTATATGGCAGTAAGCTTTGAAGGCTAGTTTCGTGTCGAGGGCCGCTCTAACGAGTGGGCGAACCCTTCGGAGCTGTGAGTGGACTGGAGTGCATACGGCCGCTCGCGATTGGTCAGCAGCACTTACATAGGTGAACTGGCCGAGTCTCGAATGTTATGTGGAAGCCGGATCTCGCTTCTGCCGACGTTAGGAGCTGTTAAAGACAGCAGAACCATCAACCATTTAGAGATTGGGCTAAGAACTTAAGACGGTCGCATTTGGGTTTTACACCCGCGTTCCGGTTCAGCGCTATACAAACAACTGAGTAACTCCAGGATCTGGAGTCAGACGTCAGCGTCAACTCGAAAGGGATGGTTGAGTGTGGCCAAAAGTTACGAGCACTTGGCCACTTGGCTACAGAAACAGTATTGACGCTAAGCTCCCGGTCACAAGCTGTGATGTTCTGTAGACTAGTTTTTACTGGTATCAGCCAGTCACAACTTGGATACAACTGTTGTAGTTTGGGCGATTTTCGGTCGCTGTCGCCGGTCAGGCCGGTCAGGCCGGGGTAGTAACTATTGGTGGTCTAGTAGATTGCCGCCGGTTTTAGGCTCGCATGTAAGTACATATTTCATCTTACTGCCACGGCTTGGTCAAAGGAAATACCTGCCTACCTATCTATCATCATGGCTATGTGCTGAACAACCATGATGACAGGGCCGGGAAAGGAGTAGCCGGAGATTGTTAAATGTTTTCATGTGCTGAACCATACCGTATAACGCGTTTGCACCTACCCGGCGGAGTTATACCTATGCAGTTAGGCAGGTGGCTAGTAATGCCTACACGGCCTGGAATGCGGTATGTGCACACTGAACGCGGCCGAGCCCAGTCCCATTTTTTCCTGTCCCAGTTATCTGTATTTGGGTCCAGACAAGCTCCACTGATCGTTTATCATTTCCGCCTCGGGGCCCCTGTGACACGCAATGTCAGTATATTCACGTATACAGCGTATGCCATGGGCGATGATTGCCAGACGCCAGCTAGCAGTGCGACTCTAAGCTCAACAGCGTCTTTGATGCCGGCTCAAGCACTTATTCTGATGACCGAGTTCACCCAGCTCAGCCCACCAGTCGCCGGCTCAGACATGTGCTCGAGTCACTTTTAGAGGTCACTTAGTACTCACCAAGGACTCGATAGGACCGAACACTTGGGGTAGCAACGTGTTGTATACTTTCCGTGACCGTCTAAATTTAAATACATT